CTGCTGGTCTTTAGCTTTCACAATAGTCTCCACACACTGGTGACACTTTTTCAACAGGTCCTGGAACACAAACTTTTCTCACTAAAACATCTGTAAAACTAAAATTAAGGACTGAGGCTTGCTCTACAAACATGAGATTGATTTCCCTGTATTCATAAACATACAACTACTCCCAACACAGTAAGACTCGAAACTAGCTAAACCCAAAAGCTAAACCCAAAAGCTAAACCCAAAAGCTAAACCCAAAAGCTAAACCCAAAAGCTAAACCCAAAAGCTAAACCCAAAAGCTAAACCCAAAAGCTAAACCCAAAAGCTACACCAAAAAACTAAACCCAAAAGCTAAACCCAAAAGCTAAACCCAAAAGCTAAACCCAAAAGCTAAACCCAAAAGCTAAACCCAAAAGCTAAACCCAAAAGCTAAACCCAAAAGCTAAACCCAAAAGCTAAACCCAAAAGCTAAACCCAAAAGCTAAACCCAAAAGCTAAACCCAAAAGCTAAACCCAAAAGCTAAACCCAAAAAGTTCTATATTAAATGGAGACACACAAACATGAACATTCAGTTTTGAATACTTAAGATTTTCACATGTATATTTTTAATAGAAATAGTGGCCTGGGTCTTTTCTCAAAGTTAACTCACCTTGTCAGTTATAGTTGCTATGTACCGCATGCATTCAATGTCTGAAGGAAACTGGTTTACTTCTTTCACCAGGAACTGAACTACTTTCACATGCCCCTAGAACAGCAAAGAAAATTCTAATCTGTTTTGTGTACAGCTGCTGCCCCTCATCATTAACATACAAGTTTGATACCTGTTAGTTCAGTGTAAAGACTAAAAACAAGAATGTTTCTGCTAAATTGCTTTGGGAGATGAGAGGTGATTAGTTTGCTCTGTGCTGACAGTGTGTTTACTGTTGAACATTCTGGTGGCAAAGAGAGACTAAACATCGTTTATTATTTTAAAATACAAGTATCAGATCAGGCCTGAGGGCACAATCAGCTCTTTGCGTTTTAATGCCAGCAGATAAGGCTCTCTTCAGACCCTGCCTGTCACCCATACTCACCTTATCACCACTCACTCCACTGAGCTAACATAGTTTGTTCAGTGAAAAGGTAAGCCTGATTAGAGAACTGAACCAGCTGAATACTATCCCGCAAGGATACTTTCTTCTGCTGCTAGATCCACTCCTTGATGAGGTATACTGTGCAACCACAAAAACAATACCTATCTATTGCTTCTGAAGTTATCTGAAAGCAATGGAGACACAGTGGTGGAATGCTCAGCGTTGTTGCTTGTCAAATATCTGTATTCATAGGTATTTGTTAAGTATAAGGCAACTGCGGTTGGACATTCTTCTACTACAGCTATGCTCCTAGCTTCCAGAAACTTCACTGACAAACCATTACAAACTAATGTTCCTGCTGCCAAGGAGAAAAGGCAGTAACAAGAAAAGTCAACAATCCAAAGTCTAGTAGAGACAACAAGACATTGGACATGAGGTCTGAACCTAGGAACAGTGGAACAGGAGGACTACATCGGGACAGCTTATTACAGACTGGTACAGTGCCTATCGCTAAAGCAAGACTGGATTAGGTTGTGTAATCTTTATCATGTTCCCCTCTAAATTCCTAATCTCAAGAGCGAGAAATGTGAAAAGTTTTAACACTGCATAAGCAGAGATAAAGTTAACATGTTTTATGGAACAAAGCTTTTCACCTCTCAAAAAACAGATCTTTGTGAAGTGCATCTTAGCTCTTCTCTAGAGAGGGTCTAAGGTCTGCAGATGATTACCTTAAAGCAGGCATTTTATCAAAATAGTAATTTTGGTGTTTTATATTTGATTCTCCCAAGACTAAACATTTAGATTTAAAACCAAATGAGAAATTCTGTTTTGAAAACAGTTAGCATTGAAACATAGTCAAGTTGTTCTCCTACCTTGCGAAATGCTGACATAAGAGGTGTAATTTTCCGATTATCAGCTGCATCCACATCTGCTCCTGCTTGCACAAGCAACTGAACTACATCATAGTGACCACCATTAGCTGCCAACCAAAGAGGTGTATTTCCTTTCTTGTTACGAACATCGATATGCGCTCCTCTAAAGTAGTACAAGTATAATTGAGTGAAATAAGGTATCAGTAAAGATGGAAATCAGGAAGCAAGATAATGAAAGATCAGACTACAATTGAATATGCAACTTCAACCACTGAAATCCAGTGTCTAGATGTAGAAATTCTGTCCCCAAGATCTTCTTTTTTTTAAGCCACAACATGATAAAACGAAGACAATTTAAACCTCTCCTACTCTCACTTCACAGCAATGAACACTCACCTAACTTAGCCTTCTGCATCAGTTAGGCAACTAGCTAACAAAGAGTTTTTAACTAATCTTTAGCTTTGTGACTACTCAAAGTGCAAAGAAGCCATTTGAGATTTTAGCTGCACACAGGGTTACAATTTAATAGCTCCAGTGCTATTTCCATGCTCTGCTCCATAAGGGATAACAGGACTATGCTCATGTAGGAATTGTTGGGATTACTACATAGTCAGCATAGCTGGACACTGCTTACCTCTGGTCCCGGCTGTCTACCTAGCTTCATTAACACTGGAGTAGTAGGATACTCCAGAGTTATACTGGCGTAGGGAACAGATGACACCGTACTTCCAAAGTTCCCTGTTCTCCTTGCTATCAGATGTACATAACAATGCAAACAAGGGCATCCTTGTCACAGAAAAAAACAGCTACAGAATAAGTATGCTACTAATAAGAAATAATTTACCGATTAATCAGGAGCTCACAGAACTTGTAGTGACCCTTATCTGCTGCAATTGTTAAAGCTGTATCTCTTGAGGAAGGCACAGGCGGAGCATTAACATCTGCTCCTTTATCAAGAAGAACTCTTCCAACCTCTGCATATCCTCCTGAAGCAGCTTCCATCAGAGGTGTGAGACCAGTCTGTGCAAAAAGAATGAGTTACACATTGTGAAATCTGTATAAAATTACTTCAGATTATATTAAGGATTCCTATACATGTAAATCAAATTTTTTTATTTAACTGCTTATATTTACTTTAAAAGTCTAACTTCAAGCATCTTTCTCAAAAAACATCTTATTGGGCTTTGATTTACACCAACCTAAACTAAGTACCACCAGATACCCACCTGATCAATGAAAAGTTTACAAAGAATCTCTAAAGTACAGATCCAGATGCAGATGCAGGTGTTTCTACAAAAAGGGCCCCAAACCAGGCTTTAGAGACTCTCTCTAGCCTCCCTTAGCACAGAGGCTGACCTGGGACCAATCTAGCTGTCAGGCCAGACTATTAAATAAATTTATACCAGCTGCTAACATGCCCAACTGACCATTTGAGAGCTGGCTTTTATCCACGTCCCTTTTTCTCCAGTCACTGTCATTCCAGAAGTAGGTGAGGTAGATGGACATAGTAATTATTCCAATAGCATTAGGAGTTAACAAAAAATCCTTTCTGCTGGGGAGATCAATCTGGCTGTCTACACTAGTTTTAGGCTTGCTTTACGGTAAGATACACAAAGCTGTCCTAGATTACCAAAGAATGGGACTGGCAGAGCATTTCAGAGGTGCAGAAAGTCACAATATTGAAGCCCTGGGTTCTGTGTTAACATTACAGTTTTAAATCTAACAGACCAGGTTTGAATGCACTACTTGGGTTGATGTGAACGAAGCAGCGTGCTGTACCTGCCAATCACTGACGTAAAGTATTGTTTCCTTTCTTTCTGGACTTGACTAAGGTTTGCATATCTATCTGTTCTGTCAATGAACATCATGTCAACCTTAAACTTGAAAGGTTTCTTGGCAGTTCGGAGCAAGAGTCAACCAAGGTGGGTTCCGTTTTTAACCTCAGAAGGCCCAGTGGTCCTTCCCCCGACACAAACAATTAACCATCATCATTGCTGCTTATATTTGTTTAAAAAGCTTATTTCAGAACATTTAACAGTTTTCCTCTAATTTTCCTATTCTACAGTAAATGAAACTAGGCATGCATCATCCCCAGCACTACAAGCTGCTAGATATAACCTTGAAACTTACAAATCAACAGGGGCAAGGAGGTTTTTACTAAAACACTTTTCCTTTTATTCCCACTAGCAAGGAGAAGCGTTTAAATACCTTAAAAAAAAAAAAACCCTTCCCAAAGGAATAACAATAAGAAAACAACCCCCCCACCTGCCAAATGTCTGGCTCCATCACTACTGATATGCTTTTGAACCACTGAAGACAGAACCAAAGGAGGTCAAAGAATAAGAAAAGAAAGAATAATAAATAAGAAAATTTCAAGAAACTTGACAGCTCTTGGAAAAATGCACCTCTTAGAAATAAGTCATAAGGAAATGTGATCCACATGCTTACCTTAGCCCTATGTTCAACATTGGCCTTCCTGTCCAAAAGCAAACTGACCACCTCTGCTCGGCCTTGGAAACAAGCCAGGGTGAGGGCTGTATTCCGATTGGTCTCAATTTGGGCGTTAATATCAGAACCCATATCAAGCAACAGTTTCACTGCAGGTACATGGCCATTCATAGCGGCCAACATCAGAGGAGAAATACCTAGCTTACTCCCAGTCCTAAAGAGAAAGAAACAAACTACAGTTCCCAGAACTGCATGAATGCTCTGTAAAATGCAAGTGTATCCGAGAAGAACAAAACGTTTCATTGTAAGCCAGAAAGAAACAATATATACAGACACTTACCTAAAATACTAGCAGTTCTGAGCTGATTATCAGAAACCAGGAGAGTAACTACATGCAGTAGACAATTGCAATTTATACACAAGAAAAATGTTTCAGCTTTTAGAATTTCAGATGGTTGAAGCACACATACACTTTAAGCTACTTATATTAAACACAAGACTGCTTCTGATTCAGAAAAATGTATTTTGAAGATACAGCCAGAGTTTAAACTTCTTCTGGGGACAGAACACAACACTAGCTTTCCAACAATGAATAAAGAGAGTGCTTAAGAAACTCAGCCATATATTTTTTGCTCCTCTTACTGGAAAAGAAATCTTCCAACAAATACACAGAGCTGCCTTGTGAGCTTCAGCTGGTTCTTTTTAGTTCCACTGGAAAAGCGTTGGACTTCTGCATCCCAGAATGGTGGCAAAGGGAGAGGGAAAGAATAGGCTTGCAAACTACATTATCACTTAAAACGTAGATACGAGAGAAATGAAGTTTGTCTGCAGCAGTTTGTCAGTGGCAGTTAAAAAGCAGCTTAAAGCATTGATTAAGAGACCATGAACACAGAGGATAATGGGAACAGTGCAGAAAGGCTGCAAGGAGGTATGAGAGGACTAAAGCTTGTAGCATATACAGCAGTATACAACCAACAACAGAATATTTGTCCTACACTGCAGTTAATCTGATGCATAGAATACATTACCTTGAATTAATTTCTGCTCCAGCATTGAGGAGAATCTTGATGATATTGACATATCCACCAGATGCAGCAAGGCTTAACGGTGTATAATCAGACACATTCCTATGTTCTTTATTTGCTCCCCGGGCCAACAGCAGATCGACAACCTGAAATGACAGCACACAACATGTTAAAAGACATGTTGTGGCCTTAGCTATTATCCAGGCACTGAAAGAATGTTATCACGCATTCACACCTTCCAGCACGTTACCAGTTTCCACAGTCAATAGATAAGCAAAGAGGACAGAAGTTTTCCTGTGGAAACTTTACTTTTACATATGTGCTGTGCAGACTAGCAACTAATCTATTCATCAGCTAAGTTCTGTGGGTTGTAGTAGCACGACTTCCAAAAGGATTATTTTACCTAATCAAAAATGCAAGGCTTTAAAGCGAAGCTCCTCCTGTGAATATAAGTTAGAAAACAGGGGATATGTCTCACTTCCATTTGTTTCACACTGTTTGAGCATCTTTTGCAGTAACTCCCACACCTTTAATTCATATGATGCTTGAGCCAAGTTTGACCACCTGTGTTACACAGCCTTTCACAGAATCACAGAATGGTTGAGGTTGGAAGGGACCTCTGGAGATCATCTAGTCCAACCCATTCTGCTCCAGCAGGGGCCTCTAGAGCATATTGCCCAGGATCACATCCAGGCGGGTTTTGAATATCTCCAGAGAAGGAGACTCCACTACCTCTCTGGGCAGCCTCTTCCAGGGCTCTGTCACCCTCACAGTGAAGAAGTTTTTCCTCAGGTTCAGATGGAACTTCCTGTGGTTCAGTTTGTGCCCGCTGCCTCTTGTCCTGTCTCTGGGCACCACGGAAAAGAGACTGGCCTCATCTTCTCGACACCCTCCCTTCAGATACTTGTACACGTTGATGAGATCCCCTCTCAGTCTTCTCTTCCCCAGGCTGAACAGGCCCAGCTCTCGCAGCCTTTCTTCAGAGGAGAGATGCTCCAGTCCCCTCACCATCTTTGTAGCCCTGTGCTGGACTCTCTCCAGGAGGGCCATGTCTCTCTCGTACTGGGGAGCCCAGAACTGGACACAGAACTCGAGGTGTGGCCTCAGCAGGGCTGAGGAGAGGGGCAGGAGCACCTCCCTCCACCTGCTGCCAACGCTGTTCCTGATG